ACCGATGCAAATAGCCCAAATTAATGAGCGCCAAAAAAGCCATAATTCCCAATTTTATGCCCGTGGTTTCCGAAGCTGTGCTTTCCGTCTTCTTTCGTTCGTGCGACCCAAGCGGAGCGAGACGCTTTGCGCCGAGCGTTGCAACTGCTCGTGGAGAGGAGTCGGAGATCACTGCACATCACATTTGCTATTCTCCTCACCCGAAGACACATGAACGGTGTCAAGAAGAGACCTAGCTCGATACCCGCATTCGGTACCGCTGGGTACTCAGTACTTAACCGGACGGTTCTCCCGTCCAGTGTCCGTACAGAACAAAAGCTCCTTCAAATTCAACGGCATAGTTCTAATGACTAAGTTGACACTAAGACTTCATTTGGAACTATTTTTTTATTGCTTTGCAAAGATGTTATAGAGAAAATAGCTTTTTAAAATTGTTGCAGTAAACAAATTGTTAGTATGAAATATTTTTTAAAGTTGAGAAAAAATAGTAGTCAAACATCAATTATGATTGAAGTCAGAAAAGCACAGCAATAAAAATAAATAAGTTGTGCCAAACAAAGTCCAAGGGTGTAAAGAGTTTTCTTACTACTTTGCTTTTAAGATCTCAATCATAACTTTTAGACCATTATTTTAAGATTTTTTTGTACTAAAAAGTTTCTTTCTACAATAGTTTTAAAAATTTACTTTTTCTACAACAACTTTACGAAAAAAATATATGACAACTATCCCAAAATGAAGCCTACCTCTCATAGCTTCGGTAATTTATCCCAACATGCATGGCATTGGCATAAAACAGCAGAGAAGGAAAAACGAGATGTGAGGAAGCATTTCATTAATCATGTTCTAAAGCCTTTATATAGAGGTTTTCACATAGTGTTCCAATCCCTTAGGCTTCGTTTAATTGGAAGTTTTTGATGCTTATTCCGTTTTAAAACGACAAATTCATTTCTTATTTACTGTTTGGTTCGTCAAATCGCGTTCCCAACAACTCCGTTTTTTTTTTTCATTTTTCTACTTTTTTCAGAAAGCTTTCTATATATGATTCTCCGTTAGAAAAAGCCCAAAGATCTTATTAGAACATGTGGACTCGAAATAACAATAGATTCTTGTTTGTGAACTACACAAAATCCTCAAGACGTAATGGTGGTCCTCTCTCCCTGCTTGGACGACTCACAGGTTGTCGTTGTATATCCTGATTGTAACAAATCTTGTGGGTTTGTGTGCCCCACAAGCCCCCCCTCAAGAACAAAAAAATATTTTTTAATTTTATATTATTATTATTATTAATTAAAATCCTTATAATGCTGACTTCTGTGTTGAAATAATTTTTATTTGAATATTATAATCAAAGTTTCTGATGATAAATTAAAAAAATTATAATTTATTTTGACATAAATGTATGTGATATAAGTTGAAAGAGCTTTTTTAACTTACTGTTATAAAAAATTGATTATGAAATAATATTAGAGATTAGTAGATGATGAATGATATTTTAATCACTTATATTAAAAAAAATTGAATATATTGATGATAAATAATCATTAAGCTTTTTCATAATATGAAGAATATCCATTATGAATTATACGTTTTTTTTTTAATTATTGTCTTATATTTTATCTTTGTAAAATAACAAATTTAAATAATTTTTTGTAAAACTATTAATGTTGGCCTAAAACATGAACAAAAAAAAAATAAAAGAACATTTGAAAATATATTTAAGATGTTTCTAAATTTAATTTTTGAAGTCTCAGACTTGATTTTGCCTCGAGATTTGTTCCCGATGAAAATAATTTTTTGATGATATATCACTAAGGAAATATTTGACTTTTATGGTATAATCTCAATAATTTCAATAGATATTTGTCAAGAATGAGAGCATTAAAACTTAACTATTCATAATTAAATATCATTTTTATGATAAAATGTTAATATTTTTAGAACATTATCATATGCCACTCATTATCAACTTATAAAATAAAGATCTTAAGATATTTAAGAAATACAATTTAGATCAATTAATCTGATTATAAATCTTTACATACTATAATTTTAGTGTTATTGAATTGTCATAATGAGACTATCATTTTAATTAAAAATTTATATAATTTGAAGCTCATTTGATATTTAAAAAAAAAAATTGTAAACAATTGTTAAGGTTGCTTTAGGTGTTAAGCCTCGATGAGAAACGTTGAGTGTTGATGTTAAATTGATACAAAATTTTACTATACATTTTGTTATGTACTTGAAAATAAAAAAAGAGGAGATGATGACTAAAATGTTACATCTATGACTAAATCTTCTATTGGTTATTCTGTTATAACTATTGTTAATCTACCATGCTAAATGTTTAAAGGGTGGCAAATTTGTTATCTTTCATAGCCATCATGACCTTATATTTTAAGAGTGCAATCTCATGTAATTGAAATTCTAGAAAGTTATTTTTTCATAATCGTCATTACCATCGTCTCATGCAATTGTTATTGTCATCTTCTGTTACTGTAATCCTGAAAATATCGACTACGGTCCTTCTGACCTCCGTTGCCAGACAACAGCCTTTCTAACCAATGTTGCCCGCTGACTACGGTCATTTCAACCTCCTTCACCAGATAATGATCTTATTGACAAAACTTTTATTTAGAACTCTTTATTTCTATTACTTTTTATGGGCTTACATTATGCAAAAGAAAATTTTAAATAATTTCAAGGACTTTGATGAAAAGCTAAGAAGGGCATAAGATAGAGAGAGCACACAGCACTGTGAAGAAAGAGGATTTTTTGTTGTTAAGGAAATATTTGACTATTATGATATAATCTCAATCATTTAAATAGATATATGTTAAGAATGAGAGCATTAAAACTTAACTATTCATAGTTATTATTTCGGGCTAGAATATATGTGGCGTTAGAGTTAGAGTTATATGTCTTAGAATTGCACAGATATCCAGCTCACACACATAGAACAAATAAGATTTTTTACGTGGAAAATCCTGAAAAGGAGATAAACCACGGGACTTGGCCCTGTTGAAAATGATTCCACGGGAATTCAATTAGATTACAGTTAACTGACTCATCATTGAGCATGATCAGATTAAAAATACCAACTATAAAGTTGAAATCTAGTGACAAATAGGGATAATAGTCCAGCGTCACTTAGTGCTTTGGTAGAAGTTTGGGCCTCAGATGGTGGTCCGATAGAAGTCAGGGGCATCAGATGGTGGTCCGGCAGAAGTCCGGGCCTCAGGTGATGGTCTGGCAGAAGTGAGGGCCTCATGTAAAGGTCTGGCGGAACTCAGAGCCTCAAGTGGTGGTTTGGCGGAACTCAGGTCCGAAGGAGCTCAGGGCATTACACGGTTGTCCGACGGAGCTTAGGGCGTTAGGTGGTGGTCCGGCGGAGCTCAGGGAGTCAAGCGTTGGTCCGGCGGAGCTCCAGGCGGTGGTCGAGGAGGCTAGGAGGCAAGAGCGATCTTTGATGTCTCTCTTTTCTCTTTAGGCTGAAGGGACCATTTCCAAGAAGAATGAGATGTCTATTTATAAAATTCATAGAATGACATGGCCCGTAAATAAGAAGAGGATCAAGGGTAAATGGGGAGTGGTTTGGATGGACGGCCGATGCCAAATCTCTGGATCGTGGACCGTTTGTCAGAAATTTGAAGGTCTTAATGATGTCGGAATTCCGTGATCTTGGGCTCGTGGGATTCATCTCGTTGAGCCGCTCGATTCGACAATAAGCATGTCACGTTTGGAAACCGTTTGGTAATCCAAATTGTGGTTCGAACTCTCCAACAGCACTTCGGGCCCTTGATTTGGACACATTTGAGCTCAGATTAAATCAAATTTAGTGTCGTTGGGTTTGTATTTGCGAGACGTTCTATTCAACTATAATTTTACTGAAATCGGAGTTTGGATGATCCCAATTTTAATTTTGGAAGTTTTCAACTCAATTTTGCCTCAAGATTCGTGTCCGATCAGGATAATTTTCCAAGGATGTATCAGTTATATTTCATTTTTATGCTAAAATGTTTATATTTTTAGAACATTATCATATGCCACTAACAACTTATAAAATAAAGATCAATAAAGATATTAAGATATTTACGAAATACATTTTAGATCAATTACTATGATTACAAATCTTTACATAATATAATTTGAGTGTTATTGAATTATCATAATCAGACTATCATTTTAATTATAAAATTATATAATTTGAAGCTCATTTGATATTTAAAATAAAATTTTTAATTAAATTATGAAGTTGATTAATTTCCCTTAGTGTTTTGAGGTCAGTTTATTGCAGAAAAAAATCATTCATAGATTTTTTTTTTTTTTTGGCATATAGAGTTGTCAAAGAGTTTTAGAGAGCTTTCTCTACTCCCTCACATTAATCATCATTAAGTGATAATAATTGTCAAAATGTTTTTTTTTTGGCATATAGAGTTGTCAAAGTGTTTTAGAGAGCTTTCTCTCCTCACTCGCATTAATCATCATTAAGGTCTCGTTTGAGATATCAAAATTAATTTAATTTGGATAACAATGTTTATAATTTTTTGAAATATCATTTACTTATTTCATAAAAATTCTTTAAAACTCTCTTAAATTAATTAAAAACGGGTCAAATCAGATTTCCGGGTCAACCTGAATCCGACCCGGTTTTACAAACGAGTGGAACCCGACCCAGTTCAGGTTCATGTTGACCCGAATCTAAAATTTTCAGGTCAGATTCGAATCGCAATTTTCAGGTCGGATCAAATGTTGACAGCACTACCTAAAACGTTATATGCTATCATCCTTTACTCGTATAAAGCACACTCCAAATCTCACTTGCTTTCAAGTAATGCTTTTCCGACTTTCCCTTCCATTAATGAGCACGTTAACTTCTCTCTTTTCAGAGGCCATCTCATTTAAATACCCTGCCACTTCAAGAAAAAGGGAACCGGAACCTTCCGTCTAACCTCGCTATAGGACGCAGAGTCTTCCCTGTTTTCTTCAAGAAAAGGGAGATGAAGGGAATGGAGAGGAGGCTAAGAGTGAGCGAGTTGGCAATTAGACTGGCTGCGTTTGGTTTTGCGGTGACAGCTTCAGCTCTTGTTGGAAGCGATAGAGAAGTGAGGATGTTCTTTTCTTTGGAGAAAAGGGCTAAGTTTACAGACATGAAGGTCTTCGTGTAAGATTCATGAAACCTTTGGGGGATGATTTAAAGTTCGTATCTTTGTTTGATATTTGTGATAAATTTATGGTTTTTGGCTACCGTTTTTTTTTTTTTTTTTTTTTTTTGTGGGGGATTTGCAGGTTTTTGGTGGCGGCTAATGGGATATTAGCTGGGTATAACTTGTTGCAGTTGGTGCGGTGCTTTGTGGGGATTATGAAGGGGGGTGTTTTATTTGGAAAGGGCTTTGCTTTTGTTGTGTTTTCCTGTGATCAGGTGAAGGAAAATCTGAAATGTTTCATTGTTTACTTTTAGAAATCTGTATTTGTTATTCCTTTTTTAAGATTTTGTTTTGTCTGCTTTGTTTGTTCATCTTTTACTGCTTATTTTCTTGTAGGGTAGAATAGTTATATACTCGTACCGCTTCTCCCTCCCCGAATTAATGAAGTTACCACCGGTTTTACAGTCTAAAAATGGAGTTTTTGTTTGCGGTGAGGTAATAGGCATCAGGCATGTAATTGGCACTGCCAGCCGCCGACCACCGCCTCCATCGCCGCATAAATAAACAAAAAAGAACATATTTTTTTAAATATCAGATATATTTTATGTTTAAAATAAGAAAATTACACAAAGTCAGGAGCTTTTATCATGCTTTATTAATGTTAGCATATGGTGATGAACTATGCATAAAGGCTTAAACTTGAAAGTTGCAGCCCAGGAATAACTTTTCTATTCCCTTTTTTTTTTTT